GGGGGAGGGAGGGAGGGAGATTGCGAAAGAGGAAGAGAGAGAGGGGGGAGGGAGGGAGGGAGATTGCGAAAGAGGAAGAGAGAGAGGGGGGAGGGAGGGAGGGAGATTGCGAAAGAGAAAGAGAGAGAGGGGGGAGGGAGGGAAGGAGATTGCGAAAGAGGAACAGAGAGCGGGGGGAGGGAGGGAGGGAGATTGCGAAAGAGGAAGAGAGAGAGGGGGGAGGGAGGGAGGGAGATTGCGAAAGAGGAAGAGAGAGCGGGGGGGAGGGAGGGAGGGAGATTGCGAAAGAGGAAGAGAGAACGGGGGGAGGGAGGGAGGGAGATTGCGAAAGAGGAAGAGAGAGACGGGGGGAGGGAGGGAGGGAGATTGCGAAAGAGGAAGAGAGAACGGGGGGAGGGAGGGAGGGAGATTGCGAAAGAGGAAGAGAGAGCGGGGGGAGGGAGGGAGGGAGATTGCGAAAAAGGAAGAGAGAGAGGGGGGAGGGAGGGAGGGAGATTGCGAAAGAGGAAGAGAGAGAGGGGGGAGGGAGGGAGGGAGATTGCGAAAGAGGAAGAGAGAGAGGGGGGGGAGGGAGGGAGATTGCGAAAGAGGAAGAGAGAGAGGGGGGAGGGAGGGAGGGAGATTGCGAAAGAGGAAGAGAGAGAGGGGGGAGGGAGGGAGGGAGATTGCGAAAGAGGAAGAGAGAGAGGGGGGAGGGAGGGAGGGAGATTGCGAAAGAGGAAGAGAGAGAGGGGGGAGGGAGGGAGGGAGATTGCGAAAGAGGAACAGAGAGCGGGGGGAGGGAGGGAGGGAGATTGCGAAAGAGGAAGAGAGAGAGGGGGGAGGGAGGGAGGGAGATTGCGAAAGAGGAAGAGAGAGCGGGGGGAGGGAGGGAGGGAGATTGCGAAAGAGGAAGAGAGAGACGGGGGGAGGGAGGGAGGGAGATTGCGAAAGAGGAAGAGAGAGAGGGGGGAGGGAGGGAGGGAGATTGCGAAAGAGGAAGAGAGAGAGGGGGGAGGGAGGGAGGGAGATTGCGAAAGAGGAAGAGAGAGAGGGGGGAGGGAGGGAGGGAGATTGCGAAAGAGGAAGAGAGAGAGGGGGGAGGGAGGGAGGGAGATTGCGAAAGAGGAAGAGAGAGAGGGGGGAGGGAGGGAGGGAGATTGCGAAAGAGGAAGAGAGAGAGGGGGGAGGGAGGGAGGGAGATTGCGAAAGAGGAAGAGAGAGCGGGGGGAGGGAGGGAGGGAGATTGCGAAAGAGGAAGAGAGAGAGGGGGGAGGGAGGGAGGGAGATTGCGAAAGAAGAAGAGAGAACGGGGGGAGGGAGGGAGGGAGATTGCGAAAGAGGAACAGAGAGCGGGGGGAGGGAGGGAGGGAGATTGCGAAAGAGGAAGAGAGAGAGGGGGGAGGGAGGGAGGGAGATTGCGAAAGAGGAAGAGAGAGCGGGGGGAGGGAGGGAGGGAGATTGCGAAAGAGGAAGAGAGAGAGGGGGGAGGGAGGGAGGGAGATTGCGAAAGAGGAAGAGAGAGAGGGGGGAGGGAGGGAGGGAGATTGCGAAAGAGGAAGAGAGAGAGGGGGGAGGGAGGGAGGGAGATTACGAAAGAGGAAGAGAGAACGGGGGGAGGGAGGGAGGGAGATTGCGAAAGAGGAAGAAAGAGAGGGGGGAGGGAGATTGAGAAAGAGGAAGAGAGAGAGGGGGGAGGGAGGGAGGGAGATTGCGAAAGAGGAAGAGAGAGAGGGGGAGGGAGGGAGGGAGATTGCGAAAGAGGAAGAGAGAGAGGGGGGAGGGAGGGAGGGAAGGAGATTAGGAGAGAGGAAGACAAAAGGGAGAGAGAGGGGGGGAGGGAGGGGGGGAGGGAAGGAGATTGGGAAAGAGGAAGAAACAGAAAGAAAAGGAAAGAGAGAGAGACCGTGACGTCGCACCTGTGATGACGTTGATGTCCGGCACGTTGTCGGAGGAGAGGTCCACGAGCCTGGGGTTCCTCTCGAAGGCGTCCCTCAGCAGCCGCTTCTTGGTCGCGGATCCGCACAGCCGGTAGAGGCCGATGATGTCGAGTCCGCGGCGCTCGACCTCGGCGACGCAGCGGGCGATGAGCAGCGGCACGGTGCCGCCACCGCTCTCGCGGTTCGACACCGTGTCGAGGTCGACGCCGAAGAGCGCGTTCTTGCGGCTGGCGGGCGTCCTGAGGAAGGCCTGGCGCGGCGGCGTGTAGCGCAGCTTGAGGTACAGCGTCCCGCGGGGCTCGATCTTGAGCGCCAGCTGGTGCAGCGGCGACTCCTTCAGCAGGCTCACCAGGTGCACCGAGCCCTTGTAGCACAGCTTGTGCCTGAACTGCGGGTCCCACGAGTATATCAAGAAGTCCAGTTCCTTGTTGTTGATGAGATCCAGATCGAAGGTCTCGTCCCAGTCGAAGTTCAGGTCCCCGGTGCGGACCACCGTGCGCGCCTTGTGGACGCGGTCGCACTCCAGCACGCAGTACAGGTCGCGGAACTCCGACCTGCCGGCGGCCTTGAGCCCGCGGCCAGCCAGCAGGTGCACCCACAGCATCCCCGAGACGCCTTCCGTCACGCCGCCCATGTTGCCTACGCCCACTTTGTACTTCAGGAACTCTGCGGGGATGAGGTGGCGCTTCAGTTTACAGCAAGGTTAGCAAAGGCTTATTATCTGATACATAACATAACAGGAAAAGACATGAATAATACAATTACAATGTAAAATATAAAAAAAAATAATTCTAGGTTGGTATTTATATATCATTAGAGCTCTTAATTAGTGAGACATAATGGAAAAACTGACATTACTGATGAAGATAATTAATTTTCTCTTCACCAGGATTTACGAAAGTATAAATTAAGACTGACATATTTACATCTTTCCCAAACACTGCTTGATAGCAAACACACAAGGTTTACACGGTTTTACTATACATAATATCCAATGTCATGCCTGAAAAAAGTGTCGGTAACCCTATAATAGAAACATGCGCTGTTGTGTTTTTCAGTATTTTTAGAGCAACAGTTATTGGCTTTATTGTTACACCTGCCTTTATTATCATTGGTAATCTCTTTCCCTTATTTGATTTCCACCACCTCTCCTATTGTTAGGGTAACAACACAATACCAACGTTAATAATATCAGTAACAGTAAAATATACCATAGTTATTATCCGTACAATCATTCATTATCAACATACATTGCTATTACATTACCATGGTAAGCATTTTACTATCCTCATCGCCGGTGACATCCTCATTACCAGAATTTTCACCATAATATCCCAAATTTATATCAATATTATATCATTATATATCACATATCCTGCCAACGTAAATATACATTATAATTTCATCACATCATCATGTAGTATACATCGCATCGCCAACCTGTCTGTCCCGCAACACGCGCCCACCTCCCCCCCACACGCCCAGAGGCTCACCTGCGGGGTTGATGTCAATAAGCCTAAGCGCAGGGCGCCCTCTGGTGGGAGAGGGGTGTGGGACGCCCCTGGCCTCTTCCAGCGCCGCCCGCACCCGCCGAGAGGGAGGTTCCAGACGACCTAGCTGCCTCGAGGGCGTGCCGGCTCCGGGGCCCAAATGCAGGCGCTGGACGTAGAACGGCGCTTCCTGTGGGAGGGAACGCAGATCAGCTGACGCTCGGCACTCGCGCCCTACCCTGCTCTGGCGCGTCCAGGGGCAGGGCTGCAGACCTTCATTCGTTACCATCACAGTGATCTTCAGCCTTATTATTATTGTTATCATCATTATCATCGCCATCTTTATCATTACCATTATTATTATTATTATTATTATTATTATTATTATTATTATTATTATTATCATTAGTAGTAGTAGTAGTAGTAGTAGTAGTACTAGTATTAGCATTATTATTATTATGATTATTACTACCATTATCATTATTATTATTATTGCTTTTGTTATTACTGCTGTTCTCATTATCATCATCGTGATCATCATCATCATTACCATTATCATCATCATAATTATCATTACCACTGTTCTTATTGTTAATATCATCATTGTTGTTATAATCGCTATTGGTATTTTTATCATCTTTATCATTATTGCAATTATTATTATCATTAGTAGTAGTTTTGTTTTGTATTGTTTTCATAATCATCATTATTATTACTATTATCATTATTATTATTATTGATATTGTTGTTTCTGTCATGGTTATTTTCATTATCATGATTATCATTACTATTGTTACTATTGCTATCATTAGTATAACCATCATTACTATCATCATTGTTACTATCACTTTTATTATTACTATTATCATCATTAACATTATTATTATGATCATAAGCATTGTTATAATTATAATGATAATAATGATGATGATGATAATAATAATAACAATAATAGTAATTATTATTATTATTATTATTATTATTATTATCAATATTATTATTATTATTATTATTATTATTATTATTATTATTATTATTATCATTATTATCATCATTACCATAATTATTATGGTCATTATTTTTATCATTATCATTATTATAACTATTACTGACATTACTATTATTACCATTATCATTATCATCCTCATTATCATTATTATTATCACATTATTATTGTTATTACTATTATTATTACTGATATTGATATTATTATTATTATCATCATTAATATTATTTTTATTACTGTTATCATTATTATTACTATTATCATCATTATCATTATTATCATTACCTTTGTTATTACGATTATTATTATCAGTGTTGTCATAATCATTAGTGCTATCATCAGAATTATCATTATTATTATTGTTTTTATTATTATTTTTATCATTATTATTATTATTATTATTATTATTGTTGTTGTTGTTGTTATTGTTATTATTATTATTATTTTTATTATTACTATTATTATCATCATTATTATCATTAGTGTTATTATTATCATTATCACTATTACTGTTTTTATTCTTTTTCTTAGTACTTTTTTACTAGTAGTAGTAGTTTTGATATTACCATTGCTACAACCTTTATCAATATTATCATTATCATAATTATTATCATTAATGATCATTATTATCATCACAATTATTGCTATAATAAGCATCATTATCAATACTATTGTCATCATCATTATTACTATTATCCTTTTCTTTTCCCCCCTCCCTGCTCCTCTAATCTGCGCCTCCGTTCTCACCTTTCTCTTCCCCGGTCCTATACCCTTATTCCATCCCCTCCCCCCCCTCCTCTTCTTACCCCCTCCACATGTCAATCGGGAAATGGCTAGTCGACTGAATGGGCCATTACCGATTACTATTCCTTGTCAAACAGAAAGGCTTCAAAAATCCAGTAGTCATTTCAGAGCTCCGAGTCTGCGTGTGTGTGGATGTACTTACATACATATGTACAGTACATATACATGTATTCTTTTTAATTATCGTTTCTTTTTTAATGCACGTAGTGACAGTGGTAACGAAATCATTTTAAAAGTGAGTCGACGTCTTAAAATTTGTTCTTGAAAGTGTATATCGCAAACCCCAAGACATTTTTCTTTGTTTACGCGTCATGTTAATCAGCGAAGGCTGGAGCCTTTCATCCCGCGGGCAAAAACAAGGTCAGGAGCTGAAATGGTTAGTAAAAATAGAAAGACAGATAAAGGGATAAATAAGTTGACTGTTCGATTGTGAGCGAGAGAAAGAAATAGAGACTACCAGTAAGGGATCCATATATATGAGTGTCTATTTGTGTGTGCATATATGAATAATAAAAAAAATGGAGCATTACAAAATTCACAGGTGTTTTCCTCTGCTGCTACCCTCACGTTTCTGATGTGTTTTTCTCTTATTCTGTTATTTTGTTATAATCCTTTATTATCATTACTTTCTTTAATGCTGATGTTGCTGTTATTACTGTCATTATTATTGCCATTACTATCTATACTGTTAGCATTGTTATTATTATTATTATTTTTATTATTACTATTATTATCATCATTATTATCATTAGTGTTATTATTATCATTATTTTCATTATTTTCATTATCATTAGCATCATTATTTCTATCATTATTATATCATCCTTATTATTATTGTTATTGCATTATTTTCATTATTATTATCACTATTACTGTTTTTATTCTTTTTCTTAGTACTTTTTTACTAGTAGTAGTAGTTGAGTTTGATATTACTATTGCTACAACCTTTATCAATATTATCATTATCATAATTATTATCATTAATGATCATTATTATCATCACAATTATTGCTATAATAAGCATCATTATCAATACTATTGTCATCATCATTATTACTATTATCCTTTTCTTTTCCCCCCTCCCTGCTCCTCTAATCTGCGCCTCCGTTCTCACCTTTCTCTTCCCCGGTCCTATACCCTTATTCCATCCCCTCCCCCCCCCTCCTCTTCTTACCCCCTCCACATGTCAATCGGGAAATGGCTAGTCGACTGAATGGGCCATTACCGATTACTATTCCTTGTCAAACAGAAAGGCTTCAAAAATCCAGTAGTCATTTCAGAGCTCCGAGTCTGCGTGTGTGTGGATGTACTTACATACATATGTACAGTACATATACATGTATTCTTTTTAATTATCGTTTCTTTTTTAATGCACGTAGTGACAGTGGTAACGAAATCATTTTAAAAGTGAGTCGACGTCTTAAAATTTGTTCTTGAAAGTGTATATCGCAAACCCCAAGACATTTTTCTTTGTTTACGCGTCATGTTAATCAGCGAAGGCTGGAGCCTTTCATCCCGCGGGCAAAAACAAGGTCAGGAGCTGAAATGGTTAGTAAAAATAGAAAGACAGATAAAGGGATAAATAAGTTGACTGTTCGATTGTGAGCGAGAGAAAGAAATAGAGACTACCAGTAAGGGATCCATATATATGAGTGTCTATTTGTGTGTGCATATATGAATAATAAAAAAAATGGAGCATTACAAAATTCACAGGTGTTTTCCTCTGCTGCTACCCTCACGTTTCTGATGTGTTTTTCTCTTATTCTGTTATTTTGTTATAATCCTTTATTATCATTACTTTCTTTAATGCTGATGTTGCTGTTATTACTGTCATTATTATTGCCATTACTATCTATACTGTTAGCATTATTTCTATTATTATTATTATGATTATCATTATTAGTAGTATTATCATCATTATTGTTATTATTATTATCCTCATAACTACGATTGTTAATATCATCATCGTCATCATTATAATTATCATTTTCTTAGTTATATTATTATTTTTGTTCTTTCATTACCATTGCCATTATTGCTATTATCGTTATTATCATCAGTATCGTTAATCATTATCATATTATTATACACAAGATTTGAAGCTCTGCCACTTCAGGTATGAACCAGAATGAGCAATCATCATGATTGTTATTATTATTATCCTCATAACTACGATTGTTAATATCATCATCGTCATCATTATAATTATCATTTTCTTAGTTATATTATTATTTTGTTCTTTCATTACCATTGCCATTATTGCTATTATCGTTATTATCAT